CTGTTTGTATCTTTGTATGGATTAAATAAACAACATATACCATACTGATTAATGAGTATTAGTGGTGCTGGTATGCAGATTTGTATTACCTTCAGACAGAGCCAGGCTAGCTGTTTCCCCGTTTCCAGTCTTTGTGCTAAGCTAAGCTAATTGTTTCCTGGCACTAGCTTCAAATTGATCGTACAGACATGAGAAGTGGTATGAATTTTCTTTTTTGTCAAACTATTCCTTCATAGTGATTCAATTAGGACTTGTGCCATGTTAACGGAAACCATGTTACTTGGTGCGACCCAGTAAGACTGCAGTTGGGACAGTTGTGTCTCAGGCACTTACCGTATTTAGTAGAGATGTGCAGTAAATAGTAGATGCTCAGTACCGGTATCGGTCCAATATTGACAGACATGTGAACTTGCCATCGCATTTATGTAACACGAGGCATCAATCTATCAATCAATCAATCGATCAATGAGACTTTATTTGTAGAGCACTTTTCATACAAGCAAAATGTAGCACATTAACCCCCCACCCACCCCCAGGCAGATTTAGAAAAAGGAAAAAGACGAGTCAGACATACAAATACGTAAACAAAGAAATAAAACAGAGTAAGATGTTGAAATAAATAAATACACAAAGTAAACAGAGTAATACAAAGAAAAAGGATTAAAACGTATAAATAAAAAAGTGCATAAAACAGATAATAAATAAAAACATAAATAGATAATAACTGATCAAATCCATTAAAAGCCAGACTAAAAAGATGACGTTTTGAGGTTTGCTTTTAAGAGTGTCAACACTCTCAGCTGCCCTGAGGTCCTCAGGAAGGCCGTCCCAGAGAGGAGGACCAGAGTGATAAAAAGATGCCTCACCATGGGTCTTTGTTCTGACTTAAGGGATAATTAAAAGGCCACTTGCTGAAGAACTGAGGGTTCTAGACTAAGGCTAAGACCCCTAAGAGCTTTATAAACCAAAAAAAGGACCCTAAAATCGATTCTGAAGCACACAGATAGCCAATGCAGCGACTTTAGGATTGGTGTAATGTCTCTTTCTGGTCCTTGTCTACACACATGCAGCTGAGTTTTGAAGTAATTGTAATTGAGCTATACTCTTCTTGGGGAGACCAGAAAGTAGAGCATTATAGTCAATCTATAATTAATCCTGCAGGTAATGTAAGCGTGCATTACTCTCTCTGTATTGGCTTGAGAGAGAAATGGCTGCACTCTGGCAGTGTTTTTAAGATGATAAAATGTATTTTTAGTTATGTTTGTAATGTGAGGTCCGAATCAAAGATTACTCTGAGTTTTTTTACTTGTTGACATTGATTTAATGCCAGTGCTTGCAGTTTCACATTGAGTTTGTCTCTCTGAGCTTCAGTATTGATGACCAAGACCTCAGTTTTATCCTGATTGAGCTGGAGAAAATGATCTGCCATCCATTGCTTGATATCTAAAATACAGTTAAAAAGGGCATCTATTGGCCCTGAGTGATGTGGAGACGCGGCTATGTGAAGCTGTGTGTGGCATGACTGAAAGAGAAACATTTCTGCTAATGTTTCTACAACTTTGATGATTTGAGGGTGGAATTCCCCTAAAAATGCATGATGTCATACTCCAAATATTTAGAAATCCCTTGGTGTGCACATTTTTACAGCAAAGACAAAATTAAAAATAAATAACCACCACCATGACAGCAGCAGATTTTTCCTTTAGATGATATGATGTTATACAGAACTCGGTCTCAGATGCTGCTGACAGCCTCTGCACAAACTCACTAAAGCATGCTGCTGAGCTTTCCTTTCAAAACCTGCAAGTTTTAGAGGATGAACCAGTTTAACTGTGACGCTAAACTGGGGAATTACCATGAGCTGGTATGGTTGTAATATTTAACCAATTGCTTTGACCTCTTTGAACTCCAGATTGTTCCATCACACAGTGTGACTCTTAGATTCTGAGGCTGAAGAAAAGGTGGCAGTAGTTATGTATGTTATTATGTCCTTAATTGTGATTTGAGACTTGCTGTATCATACCTTTTTATTTGAATGATCAATACATAAATAAGTCAATGTGGAAACCTCAGTTTTTCTCCAGGCTGTTAGAGTCCACACAGTCACAAACATGTCATCTTAATATTTCTCTTTCTCAAAAGTCATGAATGTAAACACTATTGTGCTTTCTTCTCTTGAGGCCACAAAGCCTGGGGTTACTGTAATGGTGGGCAGTGTGTGTGTGTGTGTGGTGGTGGTGGGGGGGGGGGTTGGTTTCACTTGAATGCACACTCTGCTGTTTGTTGACTTAAGATCATAATATGTGGTAGGAGGACGATTACGTGTGGGGAGCCCAAGTTTCCACACGCCTGGAATGTTTCTTCTTCTGTGTGTTTAGGATCACTAGCTGCTCCGCTGGGTTTGTCGGATCATGTGGTTAGCGGGCCGGCATGTAGCTCGGGCTTTGATTCGGATGTCACAATGCATGAAGCATTTTATTGAGAAATTATTGAGACTGTCTAGAAAGGGATGAGTACTAAATCGAGAGGTTGAAATATATATATATCACCCCACTTTTCTGTGGCCCCCCTCCAGGGTGTCAGGTCCCCTCATGTCTCCAGGGATGAAGGGAACAGGGACGCCTCCTCCTCCTCCTCCTCTGGAGAAACAGCACGTCCATCCTCACCACAAATCCTACTCTCACTATCATCACCATCAGCCTGCCAACGACGGTAAGACTGACCCAGAGACATCTGTAACTTAACTCAAGAAATCTGTTTTGACTTGAATTTGGAGATTGTTCAGTGGCGTTTCAATTTAATATCCTCAAATCTTTCCCCTTGCAGGTGATTCAGTAACATGTAGCCTGAGTATTACTTTTATAGAACTTCATATGAGAGAATTTACAGTGTCACCTCAATATAAGAGCACCCCTGTGTCCGTTTTGAAACGCTTACTGTACCAGCAGACCCACATGAAAGGCCTCAGAGAGAGGAAGTTGTCTCTTAAAGCAGCGATACTGCCCTGTGGCTCTGTCAGAGCATTTTTAGGACAGAGAGAGATTAGAGTCGTAGAGACAGAGTGGGGAAAACCACATGCCGGAAGCCTTTTCCCTGCGCTGAATTATCCAACAAAATGCTGGCTCATGTATTCAGCTGTCTCTCAGCGCCCTAACATGGCAGGCTCAGCTGTCACTCCCGAGTCTTTTTCCTAATGCCTTAAACACTGTTTTCCCTGTAAAGATCTACACATGGACGTCTCTCTAACCACGCTGTGGTCACAGAGTTGCGTAAAAGCGCTCCAGGAAAGGCTGCTTTCCCATTATCGTGACTCCTGCGGTCGATTCTGAGTACAAACTGAGACGATGGGGACAAACGTTACATACTAGGGGGCTGGCACAGTTAGCACGAGCACAAATATAGCATTGTCATAACTTCAGATCCACATCAAGTTTCAGCCGGATGGAGTGGACGCTTACTGACCTTGGAAACAATCATCCTTAGACGCTGGTGGCAGTTGATCAAGTCTGGCTTCTATTTTTCTCCTCTCTTTCTCCTCCCCGCTCCTCTACATCATCCCTCATTTCCTAGAATACCAAGGCAGCTTTCAGAGCTGCTTCCATTTCGGAGACTCCTACAGGATGGAGCAGACAGTCGGTGGCGTCCACGTCCCAGGAGATTCTCACGCCTACACTTCCCATCAGCATAATGGCTTCCACATGTCAACTAGCAACACTGGCACGGCAGGTGTGGACAATTAACCTAGAGCCTATATGCCAGAATCATGAATGTTTGATTTCATCAGAATGTTAAACAAACGCCACTTTATCTCGTCTGTACCAGGCTTCAACTTGACCCAGGACCTGCAAGGTGGCGCAGGGTGCCAGTTCTCTTCCAGCCCAGAGGAGAGCATTTTTTTCCAGGTGGGCAGCTTCGATCGCAGCCTGAGCCACATGTCCTCTGTCTACACAGAGACATAGAGCAACACTGGAGCAGGGCACGCTTCACCACACCTACTCTACTACTATGCAGTCCAACTCCTTCCACACCCGTCTTATCACACTTGGATCACCTCTACTCTACTTCCTGTTCTTTTTTCATACAAGACAGGAGTCACATAGTTAATCAAAATATTTTTTTTAGCTCATTCTTAGCTTACTTAGCTGCTGGATGGATGGGAAACCAGCAAGATGAATCCAACATAAAAGTTTTGAAGGCAGTTTAGTATACTAAAATGTGTTTAACTGCATACCTGACACTGTCTTACTGGTCAAGACACTTATCTAATAGTCCAAATACGTCAGAACAGTGGTTCCCAACCTTAAAACAAGGATGTGTAATCACCAGTTGCATACGTCAGAAAGCAAATTTTGTTAATCATTTTCCCAGAAGAAGTGTATCTGGTAATAATAAGATAAAGGGTTACTCATTAAGCTGATATTACAAAAGATCAGTGAGTTGTCTTGCAGATTACTACTCAGCCTGAAAGTCTTCTTGGAAGTGAAGAGTGCTGAGAAAATAACCTTAACAATACAGGAACTGAGCTTGAGACTTTTTTTTTTTTTTTTTTTTTTACAGGAAGCCTGTGTTATGAACTTGGAGTGGACTTGGAGTTTAAAATATTTGGGAATTTACCAGGCAGGGAGGATCTAATGAAAGACACTGCATTGCATTATAGGAATTGTAGGATCCAGTGCTTTTGGAGCTTGACCCATATTAGAGACTAAAAGTCTGGGTATCTCAACCTCTGCTGCATAAATTTTGACAATTCTGTTTTTAATATGTCCTCCAAGTTAATGAAAGTGCCCCGCTAAATCACTGGAAGGCCCCTTTAATCGTGTTGTGACCTCTCAGATTTGTCATTTGTGATTGCGTGTGGAGGCACTGAAGTCCAGGTTGGGAACCACTGGGTTAGAGGGGCTTTAAATACTGAAGAGGAAAGATTAAAATAAAAATGGAATCTGGTTTTAATTTCTGATTTTTACTCACTTAAAATGAAGGAATGCCCTGAGTCAAAGAAATTACAAGAAATCTTTTATTATTATTAACGTAAAAGAAAGCTTAAGAATAAAGATTTTTGTGCATGTGCCCTTCAGTTGTTGAAAGATTTATACGCTTTATTTCTTAGATTCAGAATCACATATTTTGGCCAAGTACTCATGAACATAACACTGGTGCAAAGACACTTTCAGTACAATCAGAGCAACATTTCTTCAGCCATAACATACAAACTTCAAGCAATACAAAACTCCTGAATGGAAATGAAATGCCCTCCTCTTTATTTTTTTTCCTCTCCTATCTACACCTTTCTATCAGTTTTAGACTGAAGTGTAGAAAAGAATATATCATTTTGCAGTGTTTGTTTTAAAAGTGGAAAAAAAAAATGTGTTTGCATTTCCATATTTTGTTGTTAAGTGTTTTTTTTCCCCTTTTTCTTTATGGATTTATCTCTGGAGGAGGGTTTGAACTCGTTAATTCTGCAGTAATGCAGAGAAACCAACCTACTTTATCATTATTATTATTATAATTATTATTATTATTATTATTATTATATGTATAAAATGTACAGTTTGTTTACAGCAATCATTTGAATGTTTGTCATTTCTCAATTTAAGAAATAAATAACTGAATGATAACACAATATCTCTACTTTGGCATGTATGTGACATTTTATATAAAATACAAAAAATGCATAAAGTACTAAAATTGTTCACATTAGTTCTATATATATATATCTGTCTTTTTTTTTTAATGTTTGCCTAGCAGTTGATGATGAGCACCATGAGAAAAGCCTCCAGACTGCAGTCATGTTGTTCCCTCTAGTGGACGCTTGTCAGTACTGCAGACACAAGAAACTTAGGCATCTTACTTCTGCTTCTTCTTGTTGAGGTAGCTCTGATAGTAGAAGTTACTGAAGAGGATGATGAGGGTGATGCAGTAACAAAACACCAGTATGTTCATGGAGGTGGGGAAGTCGCACTCTACGAGCAGCTTCTGGCCCGTGTACAGGATGAACAGCACAAACTGCACCTGGAGAGGCAGTCGGGGAAAAGATCAGATCGCCTTATCTACGCATATTGTACGTACGTTCACAGCTGTTTTCATACAGAGCGGGAGACGCTCACCAGCTGCAGAGAAGTGAGGTATCTCTTCCACCACAGGTACTTCTGCATGTGAGGGCCGATGGCAGCCAGGCCATAGTAAGAATACATCACAGTGTGAACGAAGGTGTTGAGCAGGCCGATGAAGAACGCTGCAGGATGTGGCACAAACAAGGGATCATTCAAGTACTGATAGTGAATGAATTAAGTATCAGAACTGGTACACTTTGGATTTTTTAAGAATATAGAGTGCGAGGCAGGAAAGACAGATTTTTTGTTAGTATTACGGTTTAGTTTCAGAGCATTTCACATTAGATGGTGAATTAGGTGGTCATTTGCATTTATGAAACATCTATGCAAGGGAACTGATCAGCTTTTGGCCACTAAGATGATGGAGAATATGAATTATGATTTTGGCAGGGAAATAACTTGAAATGTTTTCTGATCAGCACTTTACGTTTGTTCTTTTTATCAATTATTACAACCGACATAAATTTTGTTGGGTTGTTTTGTAAACATCATCCAACCATCACACCTGACTTGCTAAAAGGCGTTCAAATGGGGAGAAGACAAATCCTATAATTAAAGGTGTTACTCTATAGCTGGCATTATTCTGTAGTTTGGTTAAGAAAAGCCCAAAACCAACAATATGTTAAATCTGTCTCTTAATCATTTCCAACTTTCCTAACCTGTCGGTGGCACCCAGTTGTTCCTACTGAAGACGTACATTTTTAAAAATAAATCACAAATGTATAGTTAAAAAAAAAAAAGACTAAATGTAGACTAAAACAAGAGGAGACTGTAGTTTTTAACTAATGTAACTCAAACAGGAGTAGACATTGTATCTGTTGGGGACTATTTTCAGCTGTGGATTAATACACATTTGGTGCAGCAGTCCAAGACAATGAGGGATTAATTAAAAATAAAATACAACACCTAAATAGGAACATGTCTCCCAGTGCAAAAGATTGGCTCAATCTTGTGTTGTGCTGTAAAATCATTGTAGTAAGTAAATATAATACAGTAAATATTTGACTTACACTGTCCGCCCGCCACATACTTGACCCCCGCCCACCAGTTGAGGATCATGGTGGCGTGGTGGTAAACATGAAGGAAAGTCAACTGATTGCTCTTCTTCCTCAGGATGAAGAAGATCTGCACAGAGAAATTGTGAACTTTTCATTGTTAAATGTCAGAGTTTCACTCGTACTGATAATGTTTGAACAAATACTTACCGTGTCACTGAGCTCGATGACCTTGGAGAAGAAAAACCACCAGCAGACTTTGGCCATCTGCAGTAGGGAAACAATGGAGGACGGTGAGCTTTATTAATGTAATAATTGAAGGTTTAGTTTTCAAACGGCTCTGTGAGCTGTGTGGTAGGATTATTTTACTGTGAATTATGTTCCGAATATAGGTTGTGACAGGCCAAACACACCAAAGTCATTAATGGTATCTTGAGTGTAAGTGTGTGACATTTGCTTACCCTTATTGCGAGCGGGCTGCTGCTGTAATCTACAGGCTGGCAGAGGTAGCTGTAGTTTGAGAGCCAGGATGTGACCAGGAACTGGGAAATAAATATCCATACAATTACTGAATGAAAGAATACACCACCAATACAACCCCTTATATCAAGAAAAAAAGGAGGAAACAGCAGCAACAAAAACTGGAAGTGCTGAAACCTGAACATTTCCACCATTGTCGGTTTTCCTCTTAAAAAGCAGTACAAACACACCTCATAGAACATGTAGGCAGACAAGCCGACCATGGCAAAGTTGTAAATAATGAGAATGACTTTAAGGTCCACGGGTTGTCTGTCTTTCATCAGACGAGGTCCGGCCCAGACCACACACAGGTAGAGCAGGATGATGATTGACACCGGGACGGGGGAGTAGATCAGCAGCCACGGGTCCGTCCTCTTGTCTGGAACACAACAGAGATCTGTGTCAGGGACTTTTAGGCATTATTTACAAATTAATAAATATATTACAGGACACATCTCTGGCTAGAATTCAGCCTTCATTAAACTGTCATCACTGATTATAGACTCATTATAGATATATATTATAGGCATTTTTATAGTAGTCTGCTGAGGAAACGCCAGGTTTTTACACTTTGTCTTGATCCAGTTCTGCACAGATGACTTATTATGTGTGCAGCTTTGTGAATGTAAACCAAATCCTGATTCAAAAAGCACATAATATTTATAAAGTTGCAGTTGAGAAGAATAAAAGGCAGTGTTTGTCTTACAATGACTGTGTCTCCCAATCCTATGTGTCCGCCACTGTTCCAAGATAATGCAATGTAAAAAGTAGCATGGTTGCAAATCATGTGACAAGACACAAAGCGGTCATTGTGAAGCACATCTGCAGCTCCCACACACTGAACACACACACACACACACACACACACACACACACACACACACGTACAGACAGTACAGACTTGTTTCATAGACTTACAACACATGTGAATTTACTACAATACTTAAAAATAATCATCATCATACCTCCATTGTCCACTATCCTCTGGTGCGCGGACAGGACACTTTGCCAAACAGAAGCCATCTGCACACATAAAGAGAGGGAGAATGACTAAAAAGAAGAAACAACACACACACACACACACACACACACACACACACACACGTCTGCAGCCTGTGAAGACAAACCGGTCACCTATGCGCACCTTGCGTACGGTGTTTCAAATCTCGGTTCCACGCTGGTTAACCTTTGGACGCTGCCTGCCAAATACCAAAGTACAAGCAGCAGAACGCCCTGCTGCCAAATCCAGGTCCTGGCCCTGCGATGGATGAATGAAGACCGACACCGGTCCAAAATAAGTCCGCGCACAGGTTCACCGCGGAGTGGTTCTTCCACCTGAGGAGCCCTGGCGGCGGAGAAAATACTTGGACCACTTCCTGGATTTCTTCGCTTTGGTGTTGGGCTCTTTTTTTTTTTCGTTTCGTTCCTTTTTTTTTTTTTCCTTCTTTTTTTTGTTGTGTGCAGATTGTGACATGTTCAGACCAGCTGGGGGCGCTCTTGTTGTTGGTTGAGGTGGAGCTGATATAAACTATTTTGTGTGGATTCACCTATTGTTTCTTTTTCTCTATTAATTGATTGATTGGTTTTTAAAAATGTGAACATAGTGAGACGAGTGACACATTCACAATGCTCATGTCCAAAACAATAGATCAATGATAAGAAAAAAAGCTGTCAGTTAATTTTTAAGTTAACATTTTCTGTCACTGATATTAGTCATTAACTAATCATTTCAGCATTTAAGCTCTTCATATATTTTGATTGCAAAAATCTGTAAAGTAACTAAAGCTGTCAGATAATTGTAGTGGAGTAAAAAGTACAAATTTTCCACTGAAATATAGTGAAGTACAAGAAAATATTCTAGTTTTTTGTTAAGTACAGGATTTGAGTAAATCTACAAAACAGACCTGAGGTTAATTATTCAACAACTGTCTTTACCAAGAGTGCAAGAATGTTTGGTCTGATGTTACAAATTAGTTTAAGATATAAATGCAGTTATACAGCATGTGACATTTGTACAGCATGTGCAGTATTATGCTCTGTTTACCCTATTGCTTGTTCAGTGCTAAAAACAATCCTCAGTGTAGAAACCTCACAGACAGTGGACTTTAATCCAGGACTGGGACTCCAGGTTCCTACAGCTTCTGTAACACCAAGCACTCAGTTTCAAAATCCCTCTTGGTTTTCACACACTGTGTACGTACCTAAAACCAGCCGTCTGTTTCATCCTAAACACTACCTGAATCTAATTGGGATACACCAGGTTATTAGAAGCAATTATTCTATAAAATGAGATGTTGCAGTCACAAGAAAGAACGTCATTGTAACATGAAAGCGTTTTAATTGCCACCGCCAAAGGCATGATGCCTGTAAAGGTGGTGTGTGTCTGTACATGTAGCTGTCCAGATAATCTATTGTTAAAGGGGCATGCCACGGGTCTGTCCTCTTGTCTGGATTTGTCTTTTCAGGGACATTTTTAGCCATTATTTACAAATTAATAAATATATTACAGGACACATCTCTTGCTAGACTTCAGCCTTTATTTCATCAAACTGTCACCATTGATTAAAGACTATTTTTGTAGAAGTCTGTAAAAACCTGGCATTTCCTCAGCACTTTGTTTTGATCCAGTTCAGCAAGGTTACCTGTCATGTGTGTAGTTTTGTGAATGTAAACCAAATCCTGGATCAAAACGCACAAAATATTTATACATTTGCATTTGAGAAAAATAAAAGGCAGTTTTGGTCTGATAATGACGGTGAAAACAACCTTTTAATTCTGTGCCTCCCAATGTGTCCGCCACTGTTGTAAGATAATGTATCTGTCCAGTTAATCTTGCATACTACTGGAGCATCAGCATCCTATTTTTTGTGCACATTTATGACTGAATGCTCAAGGACCTCTGGTGGTTGTAGTGATTCACAATGTTCAAAAAAATCGGTTTTAGTCTATTTCATACCGACTGCTGACACCTCCTAGCCACAAGTGAACAACAACTGATAAGCCAAAAACAGGTCTTGTTATCTTCGACCACCATCTTGACTGCAAGGGTGTCATCTTCTTTCTTACTAAAGGTGCTGTCTGTTCTTTTGTCTGGACTTGTGCGCACAAGATAAAAAAAACTTTGCATATATCTATGAGACAATTTAAACTATACTAAACAAAAACATTATTGAAAACTTTGTAAATCTCTGCTGGTTTCATCGGGTAGTTGTAGTTTGCAGTAGGCACTTAACCATCCGTTTTTGTTGACTCGTAAAAAAAAAGGCATAGATAAGAGTTTTTTCAGTTCACACATGCCACTGGCTGTCATGAAACCTTGTGTTCGTCGTGTGTGTCGGCTTTATTATCCAAAGTTACATCTAGACTCAACTCCCTCCCTGCTCTACCGCCACTCCCCCCCACACACTCTGAATTCAGGGACTGCACATTCCACTTTCCCCTGTTTATTTGCACTACACCCACCACCTCACCTGTTTAAATACTTATTTATTTATCCTATTTTACTTCATGCTGTAAATACCCAAGTGCCTTGATTCTTGATTATTAATTGTTTATTTTATGTCTTGTTAAATTGTTGATTGTTTATTTTATGTCTTTTCTATTTATAGAAAATTTATTTTATTGCCTGTTTGCACCATGGGTCCGAGAGGACTGAAATTTCATCTGTGCTGTATGTCGTGCATGTATAGCATATTTGACAATAAAGCTGACTTGACCTGACTGACTTGACTTGAAGTCGCAAGGTAGCCCCTGCAGGAAAATCAAAGGAGCAATATACAGATCTCTTTGTTTTAATTTTATAACAATTTAAAAACCAATCTTGTAAAAATAATTTGATAGTATCCATAGTAAATAATACAGGAATAGTAGTACTAGTAAAAAAATGTGATTGTATTTTGTTTCTAATTCCCTTAATGTGGCACCACAGGGGTGATGCTCTGACAGTAAGGCATGAAAAAGGCCCCATGAAGGACTTTTACATACAATCCCATCAAGACTCCTGTTTAACTGTCTTGAAGAAGGAGCTGAGGGAGAGCTGTCTGCTGCTGCTGTTAGCCGCACTCAGTCTGGGTTTTTTAGAGTTCTGTGGCTTCTTGTCATTCTTTTGCCTTTTTCCATCCTAAATGAGAGACAAGTGATAAAGGTGGAATCTGTTATTAATACAGGATTAGAAGAAGAATAAGGTATGTTTTTGTAAAATATAGAAATATACAGAAGTACTTACCTTTGAGGTTTGTTCTTTTTGACTGTCCACAGAATCACAAAGCTTCACGATCTGCAGGAGAGTTAACATGTTGGGTTGTTCACACAGACTACAGAAGATTTTAATTTAACGGTTTAAACTCAGTATAATACTGTAATGTGACACAGGGAAAATAACTGTCTCTATACACCAGACTGCTGTTACAAAAGCATGCTTTCTGTGAGTGATAACCAAGTCCACTCCTGGTGCTGCCCGTACTGCTGACCTCACACAACAGGGCTTCACACACACGCACTGTGTAAACAAAACAAAAACCTTTTTCACTCCCGTGGACACAGCAGCCTCCTGCAGAGCAGATCTGGTGAGCCACTGTGCATTTTCAGTCTGTGTGTGTGTGTCACCATCCTTCAAACACACACTGTGAACCACATACGTCTGGTGGATGTGGGAGAAGATGTGAACCACCTGCAAACAGCCAATCAGTGATGCATCAGAAGATGATTACACAGCCACAGAAAGAGTGTGTGTGTGTGTGTGTGTATTAAAGTGTGTATGAGAGATAGGTGGGAAATCATCAAGCTAACCTCTCCCACATACTGGAGGAGGCTGACAGCCAGCTGGGTTCCCAGTATCCTGCTGATCTCGGCACACAGCGCCTGCTTCTGTTTCATCTCAGAGTTCTTCTCCTCTAGCAGGAGACTCGGAAACTCCCACAAGCCCGCCAGCAAACCTGTCAGCGCACACACACACACACACACACACACACACACACACACACACACACACACACACACACAGGCAGGACAACAAAACAACAAATGTTTATTTAAAATATAAAATCTCAGAACATAGGATTGTTGAATTGCATATTAAATGTAGTTTAAGCTTTATTTTCAATCTGTTTATATTATTGACATATTTAGTTCTTCAAATTCAAGTTCTGACATTTCCCATATATTGAATTTATTCATGCACACCACCCAAATAGATGTACATTAACCGGTTTTTGTTTTTTGTATTTCTGTATTCAGTGTTTCTTTAAGGTTTGCCGGACATGTAGTAAAACTACAATGAAAATTCCTGCTAAAATTAACACTGACAAACTGCAGAGTGATAGAAAACTGTACCTGTGCCTGACTCTAGACCTATGAATCTCTGTTCACATTCCCAATTTCTTCAGACAGGGAAGTGATAATAATAATTAGGCTGAAGACAAGTTTCAGCACAAACAGACCCTTCCCCAGTGGGATCCACTGCAGGCGCTGACCTTTGTTTGGTCTCTGTGTGAGCAGGTACTCGTCCCCTCCCTCCTCTCCAGGTCGGATCACCACGCAGGTCAGAGTTCGCTCCACTCGAGGCGGTTTCTTCGCTGGCTTTCTGGGGAAGTTCTGAACACCCAACTCATCGTCCCAGGGCTCCGAGGGACACAGCAGACATGTCCCACTATTCACTGAGGGACAGGAGAAAGTGCTTTAAGATAATATTATGACTACACGAAGGTCTGAAAAGAGGACTCAGGACACTTACTACAGTCTTCTATATCAGGAAGCGTTGAGGGTTTCCTGTTCGGCTTCCCCAACAGCTTCCTTGAGTTTTTCTCCTGCTTGACATGAACCTGCACATCCACACACAGTATAAGCACAACACCATGTACAGAATCATCCATACTTAATAACCTATGTTAGCGCTGGCTTCTTCTGTGTTTAAAGGAGAGCACAAACCATTACCATTACTAAGTAGCACTGGTTTAGCACTTAAGATGCTGTCTACCTTGTGGTACGAGTGGCAGTGAGACTGCACGGGACACTGACTGCACAGCGCTCCTTTAGGGGTGCAGACTCGTGCTCCCAGCTCCATCATGGCTTGGTTGAAGTCCCCAGGTCTCCCAGGGTCCACCAGTGTATTAGCTAGACTCCTAAAATAGAGAAAAAATTATATATCTTAAGAGAGTATTCTTACTTTAATACCAGTTACAAAGACTCACTCAGGTTTTGAATATATCTTTTTTTCCCCTGTGTTTTGATCACAAACGCTGATCTTCATTTTCAAAGTTCTGAGAGCATTTAGACCGGGAATGGAAAAAGCTGAAACTTCCCCCAAAAATATGACATATCTAAATATATATCTATATGAAACTGTTCAAAAGCTGCTCAAACCAAGAAAAAACAACATGTTCATAGTTATTAAAGTGGGTGCTTCTATCAAACTCAAAACTCTGGTTCCTCCTCAACGACAATGTTTGAGGTCTGATCTCACCAAAGTGCCTCTGTTACTGCAGGACTTGTGCTGTCAGCGCCGATGGCCCTCAGGCGACACAGCACCCGAATCAGATTGCCATCCACAGCTCCCGTAACCTAGGTAACAGAGATTTTTTCAGTCATCGGTGATAAACAAGGCAGTGCAGCTATCAAGTGTGGCCTTTGAGTTGACTCTGGAAACAGAAATAGAAACACTTACAGCTGTGGTGCAGATGTGGGTGTCTCCAGTGTGTGTGTGTGTGTGTGTACCTGGCCCAGTGCAATAGAGCCTATAGCTGCAGCAGTGTAACGTCCCACCCCGGGCAGCTGTTTCAGCAGGCCGTCAACTGTGCGAGGCATCTGTCCCTTAAGCTCTGACACCACCTGCAGTAGAACAGAGCAGTAACACAATTAACTCTGCATATAATTAATAGTTATATTTCTGTTGGTCAATGGATTACATAATTGATAACATAAACCGTACTATGTAATTATTACACGCAATGATGCAGATGGACACAAACGTTTGATGCAGACCTTCTGAGCTCCTTCATGCAGCCTCTTTCCTCGGGAATAATAGCCGAGGCCCGCCCACATCTGGTTCACTTCCTGCGAAATCAATACATTTGATTTAAGCTTAATACTATTTTAAAATCACCGCCATGTTCAGTGGCGTATTTTTAATAATCACCTCTAGTGTAGCAGCTGCAAGATCCTGCACAGTAGGCCACCGCTGGAACACAGTGGAGAGTTTAAATGACACATAATGCACGCCATGTATTTAATATCACCATGACTACAATGTAATGACGCCTACCTTCATCCATTTGTTGTAGTAGTCTATTACTGTGGCAACTTGTGTCTGCTGCAGCATGATTTCTGAAACCCACACTAAAAAAAAGGGAGAAAAGTCTTGTAAATGTCAGCAGATATTTAATAATTTATTTAACATTGACCCAAAAAAGAGTCTTACCTGCGTATGTCCTGATGTTGAGGTCTGACTCTGTCTCTGCCTGTAAAAGAAATACATCACATGAGTGTAATTTCAACTGAAAAAGTCAAATATTGTCAATGAGGATATGATATTTTGACTGTATTAGTATACGTTTGTTGATTTTTACTTTTAGAATATTTTTGTCTATCTGCACAGTGACACACGATAAAACCGGTTTCATGTACGCTTACTAACTTAGTAAAAACACCTCCTGTACTTTCATAATGATATCTAATTAAAGTTTCTGTTTAACAACCAACTACGTGTCTAAAAAAACAAAAACTTTCTGGTCAAATGCAGTGAAAGAAAGGTCTCTCTTTACCACAGTCCTCCATGGCAGCTCCCTCTTCTCCTTGTCGTACCAACTGAGGAGCTGAGAGCGCAGCAGCACAACATCAGCAGCATCATGAAAGGTGTGGTATGTAGACGGAGAGGAAGCACTGCTGGTGTCCTCTGGAAGACCAAAAACATCATTTCTGTTCAGAAAGGGCTAATTCCACCGATCTTCAAGCAATCAATATATGCTGAGGGGGAGAACATTAGCAGAACAGATACAGAGGGGAGGTTCCTAGAGCTTCCAGAGCTCCATTTTATATAAGTTGGCACAGACATTCAGAGTTTATTCCTGGAAAAAGTGAGACATTTATCATAATACATGAACCCGCAGGATAAAGTTTGGTGTTCTACATGTACCTTAAGACTGCTGTGGTAGTTTTTAAGGCTGTAAAATTCACTACTTAAATAAAACCTGTTGTAACACCGTTTCTACAAAAAATACTGACATTTAAACATTACAACTATTTATTGAGTGGCTTTGCTTGACACCAGTGTTGCTTTTATTGCTCTTACATGTACGCTACGGGGCTGGTTCATATTTACTGCTATATACATACATACATAACGCATTAGGTTAGGTAACATCACCGTGGTAACTACCTTCCTTCACGGCTGTATGTGACCTCTTCCGCTTCGTTGTTGCTGTCTCTACCACCTCCAGTCCGACTCTCTTGCCTTTGAGCGTCGCTGAACGTAACCTGCTCATGACCAAATTAAACATGTACCGACTTATTTCATTTCTCTGCACACAGCACGAGCGCTGTTGTTTACTTCACGAGCTCATTTGGGCTCCCGCCACGTTCAGACCGAACTGCGGCTGCTCGTCCAATCAGCTGCAAGGAAACAGTGGACGTACGTGTAACGTCATCTCCGGTGGGAGGGTCAACGATAACATGACGTAAAGGCGGCCTGTGTAGTTGTATCATTTCATATCGATTATTCTTGACTGTCATTGCCCCAGATTAGAGGATGCATTGATCATATCAGTGCCAGTGATGGAAAAAGTATTCAGATTATTTACTTCAGTTAAAATACTACACTGTAAAAATACTCCAGTTCTGTACTGAAATAAGTAAAAACACTTAGGCCTATAGAAAATAATATTATTAAATTAATAAATCTTTTATCACTGGATTATTGTTATTATTCATGAATAAATAAAGCAGGATTTTTAGTGTTGCATTTGGTTCAGGTGGAGCAGATTTTTAACTGTTTTGAAACTAATGATTATTTTCATTACTATACTCAAGTGATTGTTTGTTTGTTTATTAATTATGAAAAAAGTTAGGAATGCCATCACAACTACCCAGAGCTCAAAATGACACCTTCACAATGTTTATTTTGTTAAACCAACAGTCCAAACCTCAAAATGATCAAATTATTTAAAATAATAATGACTTATCTATCAAAATAGTTGCCAGTAAATTCTATTCCAATCAACAAATGTTTTAATTGAATCACATCTATAAACTGTTGCATAGTCTCATGTATAAGAAAGCATCATATATCAATGCAAACCTATAACTAGTAACTAAAGCTATTGAATAAATGTAGTGGAGTAGAAGTAGAAAGTGGCATTAAAAAAAAGTACAACTACAGCAAATGTGTACTTAAGTACAGTATGATGTGTATTTAAAATAACAGAAATGTAAAGTAGTAAAGTAAAATGCTGAACAATCACATCTCTATGATTGTTCCAAATCACATATTGTGTTCAGCAAACTAATAACTCTATAAAACTGTATTAGATAATAACAAAAAATAATATAAGGATGAAACTTTTAATAACATACAAACAGTATTTATACTAAAACAAATATACATTTTCTTCATCTGCATCTTGAAATGATTATTTCCAATTGTCCTATTTCAGAGTTTATCACCAAACGAAACTGAAAATCAAAGACAAAAAACAAAACAATTATTCTCACATAGTACAGGCAACTGAGGACAAAAAGACAGACTTTTGACTGGCCTTAAGATGAAACAATCATTACCTTCAGTTATATTCACCCTGTTAGTTAAAAGGGTTTCTGCTTGTGCTTCATCCATGTTCATGTACAGAGTGTCAGCTTTGTGCTGTAGAAAGAGGATCATAAAACCTGTTAGTGCTGCCTTCTAGCAGCTTCCACATCCACCTTTTAACCAACGCTATCATGATATATGTCATTAAAACTTACCATAAAGGCCGCAAACAGTGTACTGCCAATGACTCTCTGCACGTGTTCCTCAATAACTGGGTATGAGCGGACAAAGTGCTGGGCAGAGATGAAAGCAAACATTTAATGTTAGCGTGTGTGTATGCGTCTGTACAGTATGTCTGAGAGCTGTAAGCTGTATAATAAATCAATTTATATCTATCTTATATCTAAAAAATGGCCATTTTATTGGAAGTATGCGTCATTACTTAAGCTCACAACACCTCTGTGGCTATTTAAAAAACACACAGGTTGTGTAGAAGACATCATATGATGCAGTGGACTGTCTCTGGAGAGTGAACGTGTGTGTGTGTGTGTGTGTGTGTGTGAACTGAATTGTGTTCATTGAATCATATGAAGGCATGTATGTACCTCCAAGGCCAGACTGGCTTGTTTTTGGGCATCAGTGTGCTCTCTGTTTCCCATAGCGCACAGAAGATGTTGGACCACTCCAAGAGAAAGAAGCTCCCGGGAAACCTCTCGACTGTCCTCGGCCAGCAAGCTTCAACACCACAAACACTGAGATAAGTCATCAAAGCAATATAATAGTAATATGAATTCAATATATATTACCACATCATATTTCTGACAATGTATTTGTGTTATAGGACATTCATTACATTATATTTACTTAAAATAATTTAGTTATTTGTGCTCATACCGTATAGTTTTAGCTGCAGCAGCTTGTTGCACAAACACAGGCAGAGATCCAGTCGTCATGATTATCTCAGACTCAGATTCTGTGTATCAATAACATATGTTAATGTAACAAATTAGGTCACATTATGTCAAAAAATGACAAAATGCTAACACATGAATTGATTGGTTTGGGTAGATTGAGAGTTATGTATCTTGACATTGCAGACATATTATCATAGGAACTATGTACTTCCTGTCTCTGATCAATCTAAAAGAGTTGCTGCACTATATCAGTCTTTAGAAACAATTGTATTACTACTACACTTAAAAAACAACACACGTATAGAGCATAATAGGTGTTACCTTCCATATGCTGCTGTACTTCTTCTTTAGCAGGTCTCAGCAGAGCCACCAGTCCACCGAGCAGCATTGGCCTCACATCATAACACTTCAGGTCCAAGATCAAATTTATAGCTGTCAGAGTTTAAGAGAGATCATTTATTACAGGATTGTGGATTCATTTGCCACTTCAAAGCAAGTTTCAGCATATAAAATGAAAAACAACAACTCATCAGCCACAGCAAAAACCACCATGTGGTTTTCAATCATACCTTCATCCTGAACCTCCAGGTGCAGGGACCTGAGTATATTCAGCAGAGGCTCTACAATGCTGGGATGTGCTGTTTTCATTTTGGACTGTGGGAGAGGGGAGTCAGAGAACTATTGTATTTCCTTTCATATGGTATATATATATACACATTTTTCCAGGCTATCCCTTAAAATAAAAATCTGTTCTTCAGTACCCTGGTTAAAGGTCCAGTGTGTAGAATTTAGTGACATATAGCGGTGAAGTTGCAGATTGCGACCATTTGAATACAGCTCAGCCCCTAAGCGTGTAGGAAAAAACAAGGTGGTGAAAAATGCGAAAGCCCATGTTTGGATTGTCCGTTCTCGGCTGCTGTAGAAACAAGGCGATTGAATATAACGGACTCCGTAAAAGACGACCCGCTCCCTTGGTAGATAAAAGCGTCTCACTCTAAGGTAATGAAAACATGAAAGCATACCTATCAATATTATATTTGTGTCAATAGATGCTACTAAATGTTAAACACTGGACCTTTAAGTAAAGGTAAAAAAAAATATTTTAAAAAGATATGGTCCATTGTGGAAGAGAGAGAGAATGAGGGCACATGCATGCTCTGAGAATGGTAAAAGTACATACTTGCATTAATAAATGGCTCAGTGTGCACTCTCTTGCTTTACCTGCACAGTGTGTAAGGTGTGCAGGACCAGCTGCTGGGCCTTCGGGGAGGTACAAGTCATGAGGGCAATCAGACCTTTGTAGATTTGGTTTTGATATTTGGGGTTTCCACGGGACAGGGACTCCAGGAGGGCCCATGCTGTCTCTTGGGTTTCATCTGTGTTTGACTTAGCCAGGCACTCTGCGATGGCTTTCACACCTGCAAGGTAAAAAAAAAAAAAAAAAGATGACAGGCTCCTACAGTGCTGCACAAATTATCCACATGGGAAAGCAGCTTATTTGTATGCCAGGTATGAAACTGTATTAATATACAGCTACTGGGTGTCTTTATAGAAGTTACCATGGCTTTCACAGATAATCTCTTTGTACTTGCGACCAGCATTTGAGACAGTGAGCAGGAGACGAAGGGCCTCTGCCTTGTCCTCCTCTTTGCTCTGATAGTGGCTCAAGATCTCCAGGAGAGTGAGAACACCTCCATCCTCCAGGAACTCCATTAAGTACTGATCACTGAGGAATGTAAGAAATGTGACATCTGACAAAAAACTAAACAATGCAGACACAGAATCAGATACAATAAAGTTTACAGATCAGGATGCAGTAGTTCATCACACTCACTGGCTTGATGCAGAAAGGAAAATCCCAACTGCTTTAAGCTGCAGTCCCAAGAATGTCCCAAACATGTATCTGAGTATTCAGTGAAGGACTGCGTCTCAGGTGATCACATAGTCAGTCCAGAACAGGAACCAGGAGTAGGACTACTCCCTTTAGGACTCGAAACTTTTATTTTATTTATGTACGATTTGATTTCAGCCAAGATACAGTTAAATGTGTGCATGTACGCAGTAAAAGACATGATGATATTTGGTCTTGCATTAATCCAGCTCCCCATCTTCTTAAATTGTTGTCCTGTATAGATCCCCCTCCTCATCACAGACTTCATTGCACATAAACTACAGCTACAAACTAAATAAACAATTAACTACAATTTGTTCATTAGCACAACTTAAGTTGTATAAAATGTGTAGATAATATTGAAAGTACTAAATCAAGATGAAACTGAAGATATATCGCAAAACCAATGTTGTTTTGTATTTGCTTTTTTACAGGTTTGCACACATTTAACAGGGCTATAAAAAACAGTGGACAGATGTTTGAACATCCATGGTCAGATTAAAGAAAGGATACGTGAGTCTCATCCAGGTGGTGAGTCGAGCCAGGAAGAGACTGGCAACCTGTGCAAACTCCAGCTCCAGCTCATAAAACGTCTTCCCAGTGTTTTGAGTCAGGAAGGTGTTCAACATGCGGCAGCGGACCGTCCTGTCGCCACGGTCCCATTCTCGAAGAAAACTGAGTACTTTGCCGATATTTGCTTCTTCTTCCTGTGCTGACATCGTGTTCTTCTTTTCACATTGGTGAACTTAAGTTTAAGTCTTTTTCGCTGCTATTGCAACTTGTTCGTTAAAACCTTCAAATGAATCCAGTTACTTAGTTTTTGGCTTAATAAACACTCACTTTTTGCGGGTTTGATTTGTTGTTCTTCCTCCGCTTCGTTTGTAGCTGCTGGCTAACGGTTGCCAAGCAACGCCCCTACAATCTTTTTACAGTCTCTGAGTGTGTAGCCAAATTGATCAGGACTGATATCGATCATTCATTTATATATAGTTTTATATAAACTTAAGAAGGAGTTGTCCCACTCTGATCATTTGTTCAGTAAGAGTTACACAAAAAATACACAGAAATAATTACTCTCTCTCTCTCTCTCTCTCTCTCTCTCTCTCTCTCTCTCTCTCTCTCATATCAATACAGAATATTTATAGCTATAGGCTATTTTCTGTGGAGGAAAGGTGGTGTGTATGTATATATACATATGACAGTTGGATAGACTGTCAGTGGTCTGACCCAAGATCAACTTTATCCCCCCAACATTGTCAAAAGCAGCGTATTATCGATCCTTACAAACCTTTCACAATAAAAGCATAGACATATACACTGCATAAAGTCCCCCTCCACCTCCCCAAAAATGTGTTTCTTGTTCCTACAGTTGAATGTTTGAGCTTCACTGTGCAGAATTATTTTCTTATGGTAGTGTGTACAGCACAAATCTGATCTTTTCAATTGTATTTCAGGCCACTTTCATTTGTTACAATTTTTTATTCAGCCTAGAGACATGTCATGCGGGTCACTTCAGGACCATGACCTGTTCACAGTTGAATCTGACATGGGCTGCAATGTGGACAGCCAAACACAATCTGGTGAGAGCGTGCAGTGTGAACGTAGAGACCGATCACAGATTATCTTAAAGTCCCTCTCCACTCAAACATATATTGTTCCTACAGCTGGATGTTTGAGCTTCACTGTGCAGAATGACGTATGTACAGAGTTTGACACTAGAAGGATGATTTCACATTCATCTGCTGAAAGTTGAAAGTTTCTCTGTGCTCACTGAAAACCAGCTTTTTAAGTATGATTTGTGACATCACAAATAGATTGGAAGTCAAACCTGATCCAATAATTCACTTCTACATGTGTGATGTAGAAACTTGAAGCCACCAGTACACAGACACTGAGAATGGACTTTACAGTGAAGACATCTTGTGTCCAGCAGGAAAACTTAGGAAATGCATAATCATACATTTTTGAACTTCTAATGAGGTTGAACAAGTGTTTGTCAGTTTAAAGGAGCCATATGTAAGATTCTGAAATATTTTATGTATATTTTATTTATTAATCACTTTTTATGTGAATGGGTTGTAACATAACTTTAAAAAAGAGACCTTCCCCAACTTTTCCAGTTGTCTGCAGACTGATTTAAATGTGTTACTATGTGGGGCTTCAGGTCAGATTTGCCATTGAAATTCAAAGGATGTGAAGTTGATGCGCATTCCTGTGTGCTTTCTCTCTCCGCTACACTGTAGTGTCAACAGCAAGCAATACCTAATAGTTATAAATAGAGTCTGCTTAGCATTATTGCTAGCAAAATACTATATGAGTGGATATGTTATTTGGATAATCTGAGCTTGCAAAATTACTTCCCTAGCTAACGTGATCTATTATACTATCCTATGTATTATGACAAATGTTAATTTTTCCCAACAATAAATAATGTAACAAGGATTAGGTACAATGCAAACGATTGCTTACCAAGAGTGATGCAAGGCAGGGACATGGTGACTAAAGTTCACTTAACGGCCACTGGTGCCACTATTAACAATGGTTTTCTGAAAGTTACATATAGAACTTTTAGGATTTGAATGTGGAAGTTGCACTTTTTTTTACTCAATGTGGCATCATATTTCAACTATATTTCTGGGAGACACCCATTTAATAGGTGTGGTAGTTCCTGGAAATAGAAACCGTTCTTCAGTTCACTTCATTTTGAGTACTGGTAAGTTCATTCCTATTTTTATTCAGAAAAATGTATGTGGTATTTATAACAACCTTAAGGTGTAGAGAAAAACGTGAAACTGATTTGTATATTGGGTTATATGTAAGACAAAAAACAATATATCTTTGTGTCTCTTGAAAAAGAACTAGTGTTAGGCTATATGTTGCTCTCATGTTGATCTTATGTATGACTTCATGAAACTTCTTTTGATACTAAAATGAGCCTTAAAATGAAAGCAATAGGAAACCAAGAAACTGGACAAATATAGCTCTGCTATGTCTGGTTGCAGTGGTGGAGGAAATATTCAGATCCTTTAATTAAGTAAAAGTACTAATACCACACTGTCTGTTAAAGGAGAGTCCTGCACTGAAAATATTACTTATGTAAGAGTATGAAAGTATAATCAGGAAAATGTACTTAAAGTATTTAAAGTAAAACAACTCAATGCAGATAATATAAATTAAATATAAAAAAATATCCCCTCTGAGTGTATACTTTTATATATTAGATTCAATTAGAATATCATTAGATTATTATTACTTGTGGATTCATGTAAAAGCAGAAATGTAATGTTGTTGGTTGAGATGGAGCTTATTTTGAACTATTTCCTATAAGACTAACTATTACTTTCATTATAGATTAATCTTCTGATTATTTTATATTTGAATCAAATTCAATCAATCAATTGATTTTTTGCTTTTTAAAAATTCTGAAAGTGACACCTACACAATGTTTGGTCCAACCAAAAGTACAAACCACAAAAAGATTGAAATAAATAAAATAAGAAATAAAATGAATATAAAGAAAAACTGAAAGCTGGAATCATCAAATGCTTTTGCATGAAAACTTACTTAAATATCAATCAGCTTCATTGTTTCAGTTTTACTTATGCATACTGTTGGTTAGTATCATCTACAATAAAGCATCATATATCAAAGCAATGATTAGTGACTAAAGCTGGCAGATAATTGTAGTGAAGTAAAGAGTGAAATAGTTCCCTCTGAAATGTAGAGGCAAGAACAGAAAAGACTCAAGTAAAGGTTCTTAGTTACATTCCACTATTGCCTGGTGAAAAGAGGCAGATGTAAGTGGTCACTATTTGACAAATGTCCTGAACTTGTTTTCTTTTTTTTCTTCAGTGTACTGCAATCGAAATGAAGGAAAATACTTTATTATTATGCATACTTTTCCTGAACGTCTGCTTGTCTACTGGTGAGTAATCTGTCCCTAATTATAAGCCTGCTTCACAAAAAAAAAACGTTAGTCAATTACACCAATTCTCAAAAAGCCTGGCCTCGAACCTGAACCAACAACTACAGACCCATCTCTAATTCCTCCAAATCTGCAACCTCTGTGTCATCTTTGATTAAACCTTCTTCTTTGAATCACATGTTAATCACATTACAAAAACTGCCTCCTTCCATCTTAAAAACATCAGATCTGCTGATGCTCACATCTTTCAAAACTGCACTCAAAACCCATCTATTTAGATCTGCTGGATCTTCTTCCAGTCGGAATCATTCAGCACAGATGATTAAACTTGGTCATTACTTTACATGTTTTCTTTAGGTGAGGAAGATTTCATTAGGCTGACTGGTGGTCAAGACCACTCTGAGGGCCGTGTGGAGATCTTTTATGATGGAGCTTGGGGGACTGTGTGCGATGATGACTGGGACATAAATGATGCTCATGTTGTGTGCCACCAGCTCGGTTTCCCTGGTGCAACAGAAGCTCTGGCATCATCTGCATTTGGCAACGGTACAATCATATGTGTGCCAAACACTAAAGATGTAAACCTGTAATTCTGAACAATATTTGGTACAAATGGCTGTATTATGTTGTGTTAGGGGATGGAAACATCTGGATGGACAATTTAGGCTGCATTGGAACAGAGCTTAACCTGCTCTACTGTCCATTTCCTGGTTGGGGGATCCATAACTGTGGTCACTCTGAGGATGCTAGTGTTAGATGCAAAAATGGTAAGGCAACTAATGTTTAAGAAAGAAGTATGCATCTTCCATCACAATGAAATCACTCACTGTGCCCATATTGATCTCTATCAGAGCCTACCATCAGGAATCTGAGCCACGAGTATGATTTGGACCACAATGCAAGCCTCTCTCATCAGCTGGGGGAGCTGTTTGACAGTGGACGTGACTGTGACTTGAACATTGCAGTGGTGGTGGACAACGACACCATTGAGACAATCTGTGCTCACAGGCTCATCCTTTCTCTGAATCCAGACCTCAAATCTTCACAGCCAGACTTCAGCAGCCTCAGCATTGATGTCACCTCTGATTGCAGTCAATACGTCAACAACTTGGTCAGGTAAAAGCAAACCTGTGACTGGCACTATTTGTCACGTGGTTTGTCATGTAAACCTGTACCACTCATTTTTATCCTCACTTTCTGTCTTCTGACTAATGAAAATGTGATCAAATCTTTACATTTCAGATACATCTACACAAGGAAGATTAAAGTCACACTATCCTCCGCCCATTGCATTCTCAAGATGGCATCCAACTGGGGTCTGACAGAGCTTCAGAATAAGGCTACAGATATTTTCAGGCTGTTTCTTCCAGAGGATCCCACTTTCCAGAGTCAGAACTCTTTATATGAGTATTCAGTTTTTACAGGGGATGAGGCACTGCAGGAAGTTTGCCTTCGCTACCTAGCGTGGAATTGTGAGGCGCTGATCCGGTCTCCAGCCTGGGAAACTCTTCCTTTTGATCTGGTCGAAGCTCTTCTGTCTCGCTCAGACCTTGTGGTAAGTGATGAAACCGTCATCCTGAGTGGACTGGAAAGCTGGGCAGCAGCCCAAGGAAACACAACTATTCCTGAGGTGCTTCTGAAGCTCATCCGTTTCCCAATGATACCAGCTGAGGACTTATATACACTTGACCGCTCACAGTACCATGCTGGAAAGTTGCAGGGCTTTCAGTTTAATGCACTGCCCTTCACAATGTTGATCAACGACCTGACAGAAGAACAAAATGTCTACAGCCCTAGGATTTACACTGGCAGGCCATGGACCTTTACCTTCAGCTACTTCAATATCAAAGCTCACAAGGATTTTGGGTTCTATACTTTTCATGGCCAGCACATCAATAATCTGACATCAGATTTTCAAACACCTATTCATAACAGTGCCTATTTTACTTTTCACAACATATTCTGGAGAACAAGGTTATTTGTCAGTGATGAAGATTGCTTAAGTGAAAACATGACCTGCCCTTCTTTGCCAGCCGTTAGTTTGAAGATTGAG